TCAGAAGTTTCTGCTTTGGTTATCTTTCATCATCACAGAAATATAACTCTAATAGAAATAAATGATTCCTACATGGGTCCAGAGTTCCAGGACCATGGCTGAAATTCAACCCTCAGGTCAACAAAGTTGCCAATAACCCTTTTGGGGAAAAAAAATCTGTTATTTGGCTTTGACTATATCCAGGTCTAAAGTCACTAAAGAGGAGAGAGTTGGGAGATCTGGCTGGATTTGAGAAGGAAGCCTGAAGCTTCCCTCCTAAAGCAGAGACTTTGAAGGATTTTTAAGGATGGATGGAAGTTCCCAAATCATTCCATAAAATATAGCCATAAGGATCTGCTTTGTATTCCTGTCCTTCTGTCAGTCAAATATACAGCTGTAAATTACTTCTCTCTTGACTTAAATCATACTTTTTTCTATCATAGAGCTTGTTTTTAGAGACCATAAACTCAATACTTTACCTTCATGGACTCTATAGAAAAGACATTGCTGCACTGCAGTTGGTACTACCCAAAGCAAATTACCTTTCTAGTACAGTTTTATGCAAATACAGCATTAATGCTGAATTTGTCCTTCAGATTTGTGTGTGTGTGTGTGTGTGTGTGTGTATATATATATATATATATATTCCATTTACCAGTATCAAACCAAGCTAGGTGATTCAAAGGAAATTTCCCTACCTCAAACTTAGATGAAATAGCAGAAATACCTTATCACAAGTGCCCAGGAATGATGCTGACTATACTAGGAGATGTGGAAGGGGCTGTAAAAAGAACCCATGACAAGAAAAATTTCTTCTTCTGTTTCATACTTGTTCTCTGAAATGTGGGGCAAGTGTACATGAACAAATCTGAGTAGATTTATCAAATGTAGCTGACTGGGTCTCTCCTCAAGAGTGTGTGATTCCTATAGGTCTGAGACACTGAGAATTCACTTTTCTACCTAATTCCTAGGTAGAACATATTGCAAAGCACCATCCCAAAGAGGCTTAGCTTTGTAAACTAGCACTAATCATTTCTATAAAGAAGGTTTAATTCCTCTCTAAAACACTTAACAACCCCTTGGAACTCTCTCTTAATACATTCCTTTGATGTGACCAGGTAAAGTAACCTTATAACGATTAGGCAGCTATAGGAAATATTGTTCTGAATGGTTTGTTTTTTCAGATCTTTCCAACTCCGAGACACATAGTCATATTCTAAAATCAATTCCATCATGTTTAGCTACAGTGAACTTCGCTTGACCTGCATATGTATGCCTTTCAGAGACTCCTGTCTCAAGTCCAAGCCTCCTGTTTGGCCACAGAAAGCAGCTGCCATTATGGATTCAGGCCAGGCAGTGTTCATTTTGTTAAACAGGCAACACTCAAGAAGCCTGCAAATAACATTGCAAATAAGTAAGGCAGCAATTTTGCATCTGTTCTGCAGTCCCATTAATTTTCTTAACTAGAGTTGAGCAGAACAAGCAAGTAGGTTGGCCCCCTTTCCCATCCTTCACTAATAGTCACAAACCTTCTGTCGTGATATAAAAGCTGCTTATACTACCATTAGCATCTGGTTTTGGCTCGCTTTAAACTTACTGGTGATTCTGCATTTTCCCTGTGCAGAAAGTTTCTCTTCTGGCTGAACAAGTCTAGCTGCATCTTTCTAGGTTTTTAAGCTGGAGCAGCCTCAAGGAGAAAGTATCTTGGAGCTTTTCCACCTCCCAAATGGGCTGAGCATGGCTTTCTAAATGGCAGTCAGAGTCCTCCTCCTCAGCGGCAGGGCCTTTCAGATTGTCCCAAGAATGAAAATAGAATTAGAAGTTCAGCCTAAAGCTGACTCAGTGCGCTTGAAACAATGGAAGGAAGAAGTTCTAGGTTTGCTGGTCTCTCCAACAGCAGCCCGGGTCTTAGTTTCACATGTTGAATGAGCCACATTGGCTTTCAGTCTCAGAGGAGGAAATTTCCCCTTGGCATCACAGGGAGCCAGCTCTTCTGGAGCACTCTTCCTAGGAACTCCTCTATATGCTAACATTCACTTGTCCTTTTGCTCATTTCCAAATTTGCTCTAGTGTCAGGCATAGTTCTAAGCCATGGAGATATGAACATAAAATCTATGTGTTCAAGGTGAACTTGTTCTAACAATAAAGACCGGGAAAGAGAAATACTAGAAGAATGTACAAGCGCTATGAGGCATTACAAAAAATCCCTAAGCCTGGGGATCCTGGAAGTTTCCTTCAAAGAGATCTGGGCCAAATTTTGAAGTCAGATGAAAAATTCCTCAGTAGAACAAATGGGAGAAGGATGTCTGTGTAGAGGAAGCAAGCATGCAAAGGTTGATGATATTACAAAAGTACTATTCAAGGTCCTGTGGCAATTCTATGGTGAGTGAATTCAGAGTGGGGACTGGAAGAGAGGCAGGTGTGTCTCACTGGAGAAGTCCAGGTTCAGGCTCCGGCTCCACTCTTGAAAAGGGGTTGTGTTTTGTTCTTCATGAGTTGGGAAAGCATGAACAAGCTTTAAGGAAGAGAGTAACTTTTTCATGTTGATGTTTTCAAAAAACGTTCTGGGAAGAAAACAGAAGGGATATCTGCGTTGGCAGCACTGGTGCAAAATGAGCATGACGTAAAGGCGAAGTCTGGGTCCCAAGCAGGAAAACCGTGTAGGAAGAAGCTATTGTTATGGAACACTGGGGCCTTTCTTGGGTGCATGGCAGTAGAGGGCCTGGGACCCTTGCCTTGTGGAGGGTTGAGCCTAGATGGGCTCTAATTTGGCTCAAGGGAAAGAGAAAAGTAGACTATAACTCAATATCTCTTTACTCAAGGTACCCATAAAAGGCTTTCTAAATGAGCTAATGTTATCACCTTTAAAAAAATATTAAGTTTCAACTATATACAAAAATAGGGATAAATAGTGTGACTTGTCGTCGTTCATCCCTCAGCAATCAATTATTAACTGAAAGCCAGCCTATACTCCCAACATAGTTTTATATCCCACCAAATTATTTTCAAGAAATTCCAGGCACATTGTTATTTCTTCTGGCAAATACTACTTACATATCTCTAAAAGAAAGGCTCTTAAAATACATAATGTAGTAACATCATTTCATTTAAAAATACTAGCAATAATTCTTTATATTATCAAATATGCACGTTGTAATCATATTTTCAAGAAATAGGATTGTGTAATGTCTACACACATACACACATATTGAGAGAGCATGTGCTTTATTTTAAAGAAGAGTTGATTTGTTTGAATTGGGTTCCCCAAAGAGCTCCTTCAGTTATAATCTCCCTTAGCTATAATGTCTTGATTACTTTTTCAATTCTGTTTTCTGGCAATTATTGAAGTCAGAAATAGCATCCATTTCTGTCATGATCTAAATTCACCATTACACTATCCAAATGCTTCTCCATGTATAGAACCTGTCCCTCTTAATAAAAATGTTGCCGATTTCTTGATTTTTCTTCTGGAACTATCTAACCTCCTTACATGCTCTAACAAGTGTTTTCTCCTGGTATGCCACCTAGTTAGTTCTCGGTGTGAAATAGATCATGTTGAGGTGAGTAGAGCAGGAAGTGCTGGTGAGGGCTGCATTACAAAACTCCCAGTCTCTGACCACGAGTGAAGTAAATGCTGACCATTGCTCCCCACATTACTCCATGGACCTTTCATTTTATATTCCGCCTAATTCTTCACTACACACACAGATAATTGAATTGTTAACTCAAGCTTTTCTTTCATTTCTTACTTTAGTGTTTCATATCATAAATGAACAGCTGCTCATTGCAAAAGAAAAATAAAATGTGTGTTAATACTTCACCATGATACAGTTTGACTGTAAAAGGTGACTCTTTTGTTACAGTAGCTACTGGACCATTTCATTGTATCCTTAGGTACAGAAATGAAACAGCTACTTAACCTTTCACAGCACCCAGGCCCAAGGAATAAAAGAATCATTCAGAAACTTTAAAACCTGTCATAAACAAATATGATCCTTTGAATTCTAAGACTAAATAATGCAACCCTCTGGCCCAATGAAAACACCCATCACCTTCCAAGTGACCCGTGACATCTTCCTGGCCAATGATTATGGTAGACCATATTCAGAAATATTTTCCAAATAGCACATGGTGACATGGCAGCCTAGTATAGACCACTGAAATATAGTGGCTCCTTATGTTACTAGCAGAGGAGAGATAATCATTTTAGCCTCTGTTTGAATACTCAGGAATTGATCAACAGGACTAAGGCACTTGTGGAATGGTATATGCAGGGGACTCAAAGTAACAGCTCCTTCCAAGCCCGCCTTAAATGCCACCATTGAGCCAACCCTTAGCCACATCTACTTTCCTGTATTCATTTGCATATAAAGCTCAGAAATGGAAAACCCATAGCCGAATTTCTTGTTTGTAACTGACTGCTCTCAAAATACCTCCTAGTCACATGTTTATTCTGTAGATATTTACCACATATGTCACAAAAGATGTTGGGCAAACACTGTGCTAGGCAAAGAACACTCAAAACCGTTAAGCGTTCTACAGTTCCTGCAGAGGAATCAGTCACAGGTTTAAAACCTAAGTCTGGCTGGGCACCAGTGGTTCACACCTGTAATGTTAGCTACTTAGGAGACTGAGATCTGAGGACTGCGGTTCAAAGCCAGCCTGGGCAGGAAAGTCCATGAGACTCTTATTGCCAATAAACCACCAGAAAACTGGAAGTGACACTGTGTCTCAAGTGGTAGAGCACTAGCCTTGAGCTGAAGAGCTGAGGGACAGTGCCCAGGCCCAGAGTTCAAGCCCCACAACTGACATAAATAAATAAATAAATAACAACCTAAGTCTGAACAGGCTTCCCCTTGTGTTGGAATATAAGATTAAGGAAGGATATTTCTCCAAATCATCGTTTTCTGAGACATAATGCTTTCATAATTCTTAAGTTTTCTACTTTATGTACAGGCATGGGTCTTACTATTTTGCTTTCTCCAAAGAAACCAATTATAAATCCTTGGCATTTATTTCAGATGAGCAAGAAAGTTCTGGAGCAATTATTTACACCGTGGAGCTAAAACGCTACGGGGGACCCCTTGGCATCACAATCTCAGGAACCGAAGAGCCATTTGATCCTATAATCATCTCCAGCCTCACTAAAGGGGGATTAGCTGAAAGGTAAAATTTGAAGGAATTGCAACAAGACCTGTGTGTGAGAGGAGCTGCCTTTCTTGCAGCTGCACAACATGTTCCCCTGTCTCTTTTTCTGTTGACTTTTAAGTCTGCACGAAGGATTGATTTTAAGAGCTTGAGAACTCAAGCTGAGTGCAGACTTGACTTTTGAGGGCATCTTATGGGCAATCAAAGCTGTCCTGGGCTTAGCAGTAATATGACTCTCCGGAAATATATAAACTGACTATAGTCAACTGGAGGTGGTTTTATAGTGTGTCCATTTTGAGAAGAGACTAAAGTTCAGGAAGGTTAAAAGGCTTGTCCAATTCAATTCTGCAAACATTTGCTGAGCCTGTTACCTGACAGGTGCTGTGCTTAGCCGCCATGTTTGGAGGAGAGGATAATACAGGCTTTTTCTTCAAAGATTACAGGAAACAAAGTGTAGTGACCCCTCTCAGCAATACTATGTAATGTGTAGTGTCCATGACCCCTCTCAGCAATACTATGTAATGTGCAGTGTCCATTTGTTCCTTGGAACTGAATGAATGCACACACGTCATCCCTTCTCCATCCTGTCTTAACTTGCAGTTCTTTCTGAGACATGTTATTAGGCACATGAGATTTGCTCCCCCATGAACTCAGCACAAGAGTGGCTCTCATACTTCATTTATACTGATGCTTGAAGACTGTGGTTTGCAAAACAGAGATTTAGCATTGTAGAATTTTAGACCTGCAGCTCAGCTAACCTCTTCATCTTTGAGCTGAGGGTACCAAGGCAGCTCAGAAGGTTTAATATTCTGCTACTTGCAGAGACATGTAAAGTATGGTATTCTTCAGACATTTTCCTGTCCGAATATCTATTTAGAGAGACAACAAATCAAATATTAATACTGACTCGATCCAGTGAAGTAGTTCTTTCACAGCTAGTTCTTAAAACCATACAGAAGAGAGTATAGAGAATGTTAGTCTACAAACTAAAACTCTTTATGAGAGAGTGAAGAGATACTTTTTCCAGAGAGACTTCCTTAGGCATAGTGAAATAATAGACTAGTTTAACAACCCCTCCTAACCTGTGTGCCCCTGTGTCACCTCTGCTGCCCCTTTGCTGCTGCCCAGCACAGCTGCCACTGCCCCAGAAGCAAGCTGTGATCAGATCACTCAGTCACCAGAAGTCTTGTGAGTTAACTCCTTTGTTCACTGAATTTAAAGTAAGCCAGGCCAACCAAAGGGTTCAACTTTCTAACCTCTGTCCTGGGTCAGAGACATGAATTTTCACACCATCCCTGCACCCAGTGCTTCTCAGGGGAGATAGATGTCATAAACACCAGTGTCATACTTTCCAATCCATTGCTTCACATTGGATAAAGATGAAAAAAACTAAGAGTGATTAGTTTGATGGTCAATAGTTTCGTTCTATTTTCCTTTTCTACATTTCAAGCATCATGCCACACCTTCACATATGTTTTCCTTTTTAACCCTCAGATCTTCCCTGTGAGACAATGATCCCTCAGGTAGCAGTAGGGAAAACTAATACCAGAGAAATTTAAATAAATGTCCAGGTAATGGAAATGAGTTCAAATAGCTCTGGCTTATCATTGGGCAAGAATCATCAAATCATCAGTCATCAAGTCGTCATCACACACACACACACACACACACACACACACACACACACACACACACACCATATGTGTATGTATATCCATATATGTATAGACAGACAGATAGATATGTCTGTGCCAGTACTCAGATTCCAAGCTCTCCCTTAGCTTTTCCAGTCAAGGCTCTCACTCTACTGCATAAGTGAGCACATTCACTTCTGCCATTTTTAATAGTTAATTTGGAGATGAGTCTATCAGATTTCTCTGCCCAAACTACAATCCTCAGATCTTAGCCTCCTAAATAGTTAGGATTACAGGATATGAACCACTGGTGTCCTGCTATGCTACCCATTATAAAGTGGTAGAAAGAAAGAGCATTCCGTACATTACTTTTTTTAAACAGAGTTCACTGCCTTGGGACTTTTAAAGGGTTACCCAAATGACTCAGCTTTCTTGGAGTTTAAAAAAAAATACCCAAGTTCATTTTCAAAACTAATGAAACCAATTTTTCTGATTTTACTTGAAATGAAAGCATAACTCACCACAGATGCAATCGTCTTACAACATTCCCCTGAGAAAGAAAATGAGAAGTGACTTCTAGAGACCCTTGCCAAGTCTTTATTGTTATGAGTGTATAAAGTGTGGTGGGAATTTGTCCTCAGTAGCATGCAGGATATTTTTTTTCTATCTTCCCTCTTTTGGTCTGGTGTTTCAGAACGGGTGCAATCCACATAGGAGACCGAATCCTAGCCATCAACAGCAGCAGCTTGAAAGGGAAGCCTCTGAGCGAAGCCATCCATTTGTTACAGATGGCAGGAGAGACTGTCACCTTGAAAATTAAGAAACAGACAGATGGTGAGTGGGGCGAGAATCTCAATTAAGAATTTCCAGTGCATTTTCATCCCTAAAAGAATGTGCTAGTATCTTTTTGTGTTTCTAGAGAAATGACTCTCCAGCCACAGAGTATTTGAATATCTTTAGTGACTCTCATACTTCACCTCCTTTTCTGTCTGTAAAGCCCCGTCAGCATCAAGTCCCAAGAAGTTTCCTATCCCCAGCCACCTGAGTGACTTGGGAGATGTGGAGGAAGACTCCTCCCCAACACAGAAGCCAGGCAAGCTCTCAGACCTGTACCCCTCTACCGTGCCCAGTGTGGACAGTGCTGTGGAATCATGGGATGGGTCAGGAATAGATACCAGCTATGGGAATCAAGGTATGCGAGCATCACCTTTTGCTGAATGTCTTTATTTAACCCGTGGGTGTTTCAGTGCCTCAACACTCAAGCTCCCTGAGTACTTTAATTTGGCCAGCCTTGCATTCCTTCTTCCTGTTGATAAGTCATGAGCATTTATCAAACACTAACAGGCCCATTAGATTGTCTGATGGCCAAGTGTTCAATGCAGATCATGTCCTTAAAGCTTAAATGGGTATGAGGCAGGCCATAGAATAAAGTGATTCGCTGAAGACAGGCCCGTTGTCTTTTTTCTTTCTTTTTTCTTTTGCGTAAGCTTTCCACAAAGATGGATTGGGGAGCTCTGAAGCTGTGCATAAGAGATTAGCCAATGATTTGTGATTCCCATTTGTTCTTGCCCACCCTGGCTTTAAATAGAAACATGAAGAGGTTTCCCTGAGTAATCATTATTAGAGAGTTGTGGTCATAGTACATGAAAGTATACAGTAGATGTGTCTTCATAGATGTCATCTCGACAGAAAGGGCTTAGAGAACACACCCAAGTGTAATGGCTGCTTAGTTAAGGGAGTCTGTATCCAATTCCCTCTTCTCTCAGTTTTTCTAGTTCCCCAGAAGCCTTCTTTTATCTCTGGCAGGTCCTGTGATCTATTAAAATATTTTTATAAAATAAATGGTATTTCAAAATTGTCAAACTGGTAACCTATTAGAGAAGATATGAAGTTTGGTGAAGAAAATATTCCGAATTCCTAATTAGAATTAAAGTTGATCCTTATCTAGAAATTAACTTTCCCAAGTGGTAATACTGTGTGACAACTTTTATAAACCCACAACCAACAGCAGACATTTATTTTTGCCTGAAAACTTATGAACCACTAAAGAACACAGGAAGAAAGATATATGTCAAATTTTATCAGAATAGACTCTAGAGTTTCTATATTAATGTGCATATTTATTTATTTATTTGGAGAGAAATTTTGTCTGAGGACACCATATATATGCATATACATATATATATATATATATATATATAAATGAGTTCTATTCCATAAAGTGGTATGTTAAGTACTTAATTGCTCTAGTCCTTTATACCATAGTTACCGGACCATGATTAGTATACTAGATACAGAGCCTGTCCCTCATCAGTAAAAGATGAAGAACCGTGTGTTTTTATAAAACTTTTTAAATGTCTTACCCTAGATCTTTACCAATTTTATTTACCGTAGAATAAAAATTACCTTAACAAAATTTCATCCATTTCCAGAATTACCTACATCTGTGAAGATCTATTTTTCATTGTACACATAAATAAAATTAAACATGCTTAGCAAAATGGAATCTAGACTCAATTTCAAACCTGACATTATGACATGAAGTGTAAAACCAGATAATGAAAATAAGTAGCAAAAGAAATAAAGAAAAAAAGTTTCCACTTCCAATTCAAAGAGTTAATTACTTAAGACATCTATTCTTAAAAATGACTTTCTTTTATTCAGTTGATTTATGTATCAATTTTTAATTTTACAGTGTCTTTCCCAATATCATAGATGTATTTTAATTTCACTACCATTCAGCTAAAACAAAGTATATTTCTGATAGTTGATTTTTTTCTTCTATAATTATCCCCTTCCATCTATGACTTTTAAGTTTGCCTTCTAGGGTAAAGAAGTATTTCTCAGCACCTGCTAATGTCTTTTCAACTATGATAAATAGCTTACATTTACCCAAGCCTCCGTGTCCTCGGATATTCCCTATATTATTCAATTTTATTCTTTTTTATCTTTAAGTAGTTGTATAAAACAATTTCAATTCAACATGTTAGTTCATGAATACAATGTATCTTGATTAATGTCATCCCTTCCATATTTTCCTCCATCACTCCTAATTCTACCCATCCTCTTAAGATATAATATTAAATGTACATATGTGAAAATGGAACCAGGCACCTTAAGGGGATATTCCCTATTTTAAGTCATAGATCATCATCTATCATTAGTGATTGAATTTTAGCTACACCTATCAAAGAGATTTGAATCTATTCCCTTTCCTGATGTGTTTTGTGACATGCAGTAATTTTTCTCATGCTCATTAAGACAAAGCATGCTTGCGATGGATCCACATGCTTTTAAAGGTCAACATCTTCCTAATAAAGAGGCTGCACATCTACTCAACTACATCCTTATACTAAGGCCTAAGTTGCCTAGGACTATGTAGGAACAGTGATTGGAACACAAATCAGATAATTAAACTGCCCAAGTAAAATATATTGGAATTTCCTCAGAGAACTTAATGATCATACAAGTTACTATTTATCAGAAAAAGACAGCCCCAGGAGGATACCACCAGGGAGCATTTGACTCTTGAAAGCTTAAAGCCAGTTAAAGAAAGTATGAAGTACTAGCTTCTCTTAACTTCTTTTGATTTTTTTTGTTATTTTTTTGCCAGTCCTGGGGCTTGAACTCAGGGCCTGGGCACTGTCCCTGAGCTTCTTTTGCTCAAGGCTAGCACTTCTACCACTTGAGCCATAGAGCCACTTCCGGTCTTTTCTGTTTATGTGGTTCTGAGAAATCAAACCCAGGGCTTCCTGCCTGCTAGGCAAGCACTCTACCACTAAGGCACATTCCCAGCCTTCTTAACTTCTCTTGTAGTAGAAGTGAGCGTTCATATATTTGTGTTAGTTGGTTTGGCTGGGGAGAAGAAAATGAATAGTCATCAAAAGGAGCCAGGATGAACATTAGTGTTATCAAGACATTTCCCTTCCAGAGAAGATTTATGTGTTTTTTGTTAATTCAACACTTTTGACAGAAAACTGAACAGTCTCACACAAGACTTTTTCCCAAATAGCTAGCCACACGTCTGCAGTTATTTGAGAAAAAGGGAGAAAGTGAGACGTTAAGTTGAAAATATTTCCTCTGTTCCAAAGATTTCGATTCTTGGTGTTCAAAAACAGAGGTTTCAAAGGGTATTTTCTGTCAAATATTTGATAGTACAGACTGCATTTTCATGGAAAGTATTTGTTACATAGCCAAAGCCATTTCTTACTATCCCACTCATCAAACTAATCAGACATAATTCCCTGCAAACATAATAATGTAGTAGAATTGTTATCCTGACAGCCATCTTACTTCTGAGTTCCAGATCTGTGACCCAGAGGGGGGGGAGGGTTAAGGGTGTGCATAAAGGCTGTACCATGAGTTTGCCTAGTTGAAATAAGACCAAGAGCCCTTCTCATATGAACAAGATTCTCACATATTATCCCTAGATATGACAACTGGGAGTTCTTACAACCCAAAGTCAAGCACCTTCAAAGGTATGAAGTGGATGAGGAATGTGTCTTTGGTTTTAATGTGGAAGAAGAGCAATAGTGGAAGGGAATGTGGGAGGGGAATTGACAAGCCTCAGACCCTGGCACCGTGTCAGCTATGGCAGGTGAGACTAGCCGATGGCACTTGAGGATCTGAAAACTGATTCTACTAACATGATGACTTAGCGGCTTGCTGGAAGTGGTTTGAAGCTACTTTTTTAAAGCCTTTGATATCATCTGTAAAGTGCAAATAACATTAATGCCAAAGCTGGTTATGATGAATAAATAAGATAGCACAAACAAAATACTTAGGATAGGACTTGTATATGGTAAACACCCATGTGTGTTTGCTATTGTTATTACTGTTCCTATTTCTCTGACTGCTCAACTGGTCAAAATGTTACTTTTCAGTGGACTAAATAATTTTCAGGCCAAGTTCTGACACCTTGTTTATGTTTTTAGGCACCACTTTTCAGGCCACAGGATACAATTTCAACACCTATGACTGGAGGAGTCCAAAGCAAAGAGGCAGCTTATCTCCTGTCCCCAAGCCTCGGAGCCAGACTTACCCAGATGTGGGGCTGAGTAATGAAGAATGGGACCGGTCTACAGCCAGTGGGTAAGATCTGCATCCATGCTACCCCATCAGACAGGAAGTGGCAGGGGGTCATTTGGGGCAGGATTTGAACCTCTTTGTTCAAATAGAGCATATTGTTATCATGGACTTCTTGAAGTAATTTTGATCATCCAAGGTTGGCCACATGGTATGTTTTGGAATTGTGTATCTCATCAGTGAGAGCCTGGCACTACCAGACAATATGTAAGAGCTAGGCTTCCCAGAAACCTCAGGGAAGAGTCAACTCTGATGAACCCTGTCTTTGCTCTGTGGCAACCAGCCCTTTCTCCTTTCATTTATTTATTATTATCATCAAGTAGTTGCACAAAAGAGTTGTCATTTAACAAAGCAGTTTATGCATACCATGCATCTTTTTTTTACTTTTTTTAATTGTCCAAATGTTGTACAGAGGGGTTACGGTTACATGAGAAAGGTAATAAGTACATTTCTTGTCAAACTTGTTACCCCTTCCCTCATTGTTCTCCTACCTGATCTCCCAGTTCATCGTTCTCATCCATCACTCTCAATCCTACCCCTCCCTTCACTTTTCTTAATTCTGTAGCATATGTTTTGATTTTTGGTGCATTCTCCACCCCAGTGCTTTTTTTTAAATACGTTTTTTATTGTAAAAATACTGTACAGAGGGGTTATAGTTACATGAGCAAGGTAATGAGTACATTTCCTATCAAGCGTTGTTGCCTCCTCCTTTGTTTTTCCCTTCCCCTCCCTTCCCTCCCACCTCCACAACTACACTCCCTCCCTCCTCCCCCCTCTCCCGACCCAACCTAAATTGTAAAGTTCATTTTTCAACATAGTGTCTTGTACATCTCATTGTTACAATTGGTTAACCTGTATCCTTATTTAAGCATTTTGTTTTTTCCCTTCCCCTCCCCAAGCTAGAGAAGTGTATATACATGATGCAGGGCACTGACATCAAATACAGTGAAAAAACAGGGGTTATACCATGGGGGCGGAACATACAAAGAAACAACAAAATCACATGGTACATTATAAATACGTTAGGAACAATAGCAAGAAAAAAAACACTTGTGTCCCTATCTTGGGGTTCATTTCACTTAACATCATCTTATCTGGTCATATGTACATAGCTTTTGACCTTTTCTGCTTGTCCCAGACATATACTAGTTATTACAAATAAGGGAAACCATAGGACCTATGTTTCTTTGGGCTTAACTTACTTCATTTAATATAATTTTTTCCAAGTCTATCCATTTCCTAACAAATGGGGTGATGTCATTCTTTCTGATGGAGGCATAGAATTCCATTGTGTGTGTGTGTGTGTGTGTGTGTGTGTGTGTGTATACATATATACATATATATACACATTTTCTTGATCCATTCATCTACTGAGGGGCATCTGGGTTGGTTCCATATCTTAGCTATGGTAAATAATGCAGTAAGCCTAGTTGTGCTGGTAGCTTTAGTGTGGTCTTGTTTGTGATCATTTGGGTAAATGCCCCAAAGTGGAATATGACAACAGATGCTGGAGGGGATGTGGTCAGAAGGGAACCTTACTGCATTGTTGGTGGGAATGTAAACTTGTTCAACCACTTTGGAAAGTAGTATGGAGGTTCCTCAAAGGACTCCACATAGAGCTCCACCCCACTTCTTTTCTTCCTTCTTCTACCCCACTCCCCTTGACTCCACCCCACCCCTTTCAAGTACTCATTTTCCGGTGTTTTATTTTGTTGAACTTTGATTTTTGCCTTTCTAAGGAATTACACTGTTCTCCCCTAAATCTCCCATGTTTCAGTGAATACATTTGTATACACTTGCATGTCACCCAACTATTTACTTTTGTGTTTATAAACTGATTCTTACTTCCACATATAACAGAAAACATGGAACCTTTGTCTCTCTAGGCCTAATGTACCAACTTAAATAATTTTTTCCAAGTCTTTTTATTTCTTTTTTTAATTTTTATTATATTTTATTGTCTACAGAGGTGTTGCAGTCAGGTAATGAACACATTTCTTGTTGAACAGTATCACATCTTTCCTCATTTTCTCCCAGTTTTTCCCTCCTGAACTCCCTCCCCCCACAAATTGTATAGTTCATTTTCAACATAGTATCTAGTGAGTATTACTGCTGAATTAGTTTACCCTTTGTCCTACACTATGCTTTCCCTTACCATCCCCAAAGCAGATAAACTTACATAACAAGACAAAAGGTAGAGAATTCAAAAACAGTGACTAAGGGGGGGAAAAAACAAAAACAAAAAGTAAAATACCTTACTCATATAACTGTAACCCCTCTTACAGTATCTTTACAATAAAAAATATATACAAAAAATAACAAAAACCTCTTGTTTCTATTTCTTGGATTTCATCTCATTTTATATGATCATATGCACATAGCTATTGAGCCTTTGTGATCCTCTCCTAAGAATATCCTCCTTGGACGCTGTTGAACAATGAACTTTACAATTTAGAGGGGCAGGATTGTGGAAGTGGGAGGGAACGGATGGTAGGGGAAAAACAAAGGAGGAGGCAACAATGCTTGATAAGAAATGTACTCATTACCTTGCTCATGTAACTGTAACTCCTCTGTACAGTATTTTCACAATAAAAAACTTATATATAAAGTTAGAATTTAACATTTTAAAAAATAAATAATATCCTCCTTGGATCTCACTGTGAATGTTTAGAATCCTGTTTAACATATCATATCCAAGTGTAATTTTTTTTCTTTTACTATCTATTGGATTTACTTGTAGATTTATAAGCACATTCTAATTACTACAAATGATCTGGCTTACTTCACTTAATATAATTTTTTCTAAGTCTTTCCATTTCCTTACAAATGGGGCAATACCATTCTTTCTGATGGAAGCACAGAATCTTCTTGACTCATTCATCCACTGAGGAGCATCTGGACTGATTCCATATCTTGGCTGTGGTAGACAATGCTGCAATAAACATGGTTGTGCTAGTGAGTTTAGTGTGGCCTGGTTTTTGGTCAATTAGATAAATTACCAGGAGTAGAATTGCTGGATGATAAGGAAGCTCTATGTTTAGTCTTTTGAGGAACCTCCATACTGCTTTCTAGAAAGGTTGAACAAGTTTACATTCCCACCAACAGAGTAGTAGCTAACATCTGTTATTGTTAGTTTTCTTGATAATGGTCATTCTAACTGAAATGAGGTAGAGTTTCAATATTGTTTAAGTCTTTAGCCCATTTACTATGTGGGTTGCTGTTTCTTTGAGATTTGTTTTTTTGGGGGGAGGGGTAATTTTTTTGAGCTCTAATTATATTTTAGATATGAGGCCCTTGTCTGTTCATACCTAGAAAAGATCTTCTCCCATTCTGTGGTTTTTATCTTTTTCTCTTTTTTTTTTATTGTGAAAATACTGTACAGTGGGGTTACAATTACATGGGCAAGATAATGAGTACATTTCTTATCAAGCATTGTAGCCTCCTCCTTTGTTTTGAATCTTGCTATCTATATCCTTTGCCATGCAGAAATGCTTCAGATTAATGCAATCCTGTTTATCCAGCTTTCTTTGATTTGTTGTGATTCTGGATCTCTACTTAGAAAGTTTTGACCTGTGCCAGGGAACCCTAATGTTTCCTCTATCCCTTCCTGTAATATTTTCATGATATCTGGCCTTCCATTAAGGTCTTTGCAGTTGATTCTGGTGTAGGGTGATATGTAAGGACCTAGCTCATTTTCTGCACATGTACAGTTAGTTCTGCAAGCACCATTTGTCAAAGAGGCTGTCTTCCTTCCATCCTGTGTTTTTGGCTCCCTTATCAAATATTAGGTGGCTATGGTCTGTGGATTCATTTCTGGGTCTTCTATTCCATTGGTTCTCAGGCCTAGTCTTGTGGTTTTTATTACTACTACTATTTATTACTACTACTATTATCACTACTATTACTACTATTATTACTACTAGAATTTGAAGCCTGGTATTAATATTCCTCCAGCAGTGTTCTTCCTGCTGATTGTTTTGCTATCTGGGGTCTTCTATTATCCCATATGATTTTTTTTATTGCTTCCTCTATATCATTGAAGAATGTTGTTGTTGGGATTTTGATGGATATTACACTGAATGTGTAGAAAGCTTTGGGCAGCATTGCCATTTTCATGTTAATCCTTCCAATCCAGGAGCATAGAAGGTTTTCCCATTTCCTTAAATCTGCTTTAAATTATTTTTTTCAGATTTTTAAAGTTTTCATCATAGAAGTCCTTCACATTCCTAGTAATTTTTTTAGGCTATTACAAGTGGAGCTGCTTTCCTGACCTCAGTCTTCCTCTTCTCACTGTTGGCATCAGAAAAGCTACTGATTTTTGTGGGATAATTTTATACCATGCTACTTTGCCAAAGTTTCAGATCAGCTCAAGTAACTTGGGAGAAGAGTCTATGTGTTTCTTCAAACATCTGCAAAGAGGGGAAAGTTTTATTTCTTCTTTCCCTATTTGGATCCCCTTTGTGTTTGTCTCTTGCCTCAATGTCAGTCTCCTATAGTTAGAAATTCTAGTACTATATAGAAGAGGAGTAGAGAGAGCCAACAATCTGTCTTGTTCCTGATTTTTGAGGAAATAGTTTTAACATTTTACCATTGAGTATAATGCTGGCTATAGGTTTGTCATATACAGCTGAATTCTATTGAGTTTTACATTGATATTCATCAAAGAGATGGGTTTTCAGTAATCCTACATGCCCAGGAGGCCAAGATCTAAGAATCAGAGTTCAAAACTAGCCCAAGCTAGAAAGTCTGTAAGACTTTTATTTGTATTTAACCACCAAAAAAAAATCTAGAAGTTGAGCTGTGGTTCAACTGGTAGAACACCAACTTTGAGCAAAAAAGCTAGGGGACAACACTTAGACCCTTGGTTCAAACATCAATATGAGTACAAAAAGGTATGTGTTAGCATGTCATTCCTTAGCAGAATATTTTTAAAGATAAATTTTTAAAGATAAATTTTTAAAGATAATTTATGAGGAAAACATGTTTTTCTCTGATAGATTGTTTTCACTGTAGAATCAATCTCTGAAGCATAGCCCATGTTATATTCCATTCCCACTGGGCTATGCTGAAATTCAGTTAGTAAAACTCTGAACCATCCTTTCATTTTTCTCAACACTCAGAATTTCCTTATAGCACTTTTTAGCATGTATGTCAGGACCAGGGCATGAACTCATGGCCTTGCTCTCTCTGTCACTTGATTGTTTCTGCTCAAGCCTGGCACTGTACTACTTGAGCCACACCTCCAGTCCTAAAACATATTTTTGTTGGGTTTGTTTGTTTTTGTTTGTGCTGATCCTAGGACTTGAACTCAGGGCCTCGGCACTCTTCCTTAAGTTTTTTCATTCAAGGCTGATGCAGTACCACTTGAGACACAGCTTCACTTCCAGTTTTTTTTTGGTGGTTAATTGGAGATAAGAGCCTCACCAACTTTCTTATGCTGGCTGGCTTTGAATTGTGCTCCTCAAATCTCAGTCTCCTGAGTACCAAGCATTACAGGCATAAGCCACTAATACCCAGCATTGTTTTAAAGCATTTTTTTGAAGCTAACTGTACTTAGAAGCCCCAGGTGGAAGGAAGCCATATCCAAAAATGAGTCTTTTCTAACTTATTTGTGTGAAATGAAGGGAGAGAGGTTCTAAATATAGAAGGGGAGAAAAATACATATCTGTCAAGTTCTTCACCTAGCCTGTGCTTCTTGGTTGACAGTTTTGCAGGACCTTCTGACAGCGTGGAGGCTGAGCAAGAAGAGAACTTCTGGTCTCAGGCACTGGAGGATTTGGAAACCTGTGGACAGTCAGGAATCCTGAGAGAACTTGAGGTAGCCTTAGTCCTGCTACTTAACTTTCATTGTTTCAACATTCATTATTTTGGTCCTTTTAAGTTTGCATTGATCACACCAGTTCATTTAAAAGCTTTAACCCCTTTCCACAGGAGAAAGCTGACAGGCGTGTGTCATTGAGAAACATGACTCTCTTGGTAGCTACCCTTTATGTTTATATTTTTGCTTGTGAAGCTTCCTCCCCTACTCCCTTGCCTTCTGGACAGCGATTTGATTTTATACAATGCAGTTGAAAGTACTATTTCCCCATTCCCACCCCCTAAGCTTACTGACTTGTGGCTTCTGCCATTGCTCTCTGCTAACCCTGATTGTACCTGTTCCCCACAAATTGCTAAAGAGCAAGCTAAGTTTCTAGCAGTGGTGCATTTATTCTCTTAGTTGCTTTAGAAAGGTTTCTTTGGCATGTTTTCATTTGTACCTGGTATAGAAATTAATTTGATCATTAAGAGGAACATAAGAGGAAATTTTACTTTGTTTTTCCCTTAAATTTGATAGCAATGCTGCTGGTGAAAAGGACCAATACTATATGATAAACACATAAAATATTACATGTACATTGCTGAATTTAAGAAGGAGAAAGATAAAGTGTTCTTGCATCAGAGTCTCGAATTTGCTGATAATAATCACATCTTAGTCTAGGAAGTCCTAGACTGTTTCCTTTTATGTTCTTTTAAATTTCCCAAGCTGAAAACAATGAAGTGGCAAAAGTCTCGTTTTCTTTTTCTTTTTCTTTTGATGTCATATGAGGTCCCCAAGTCACCATAAGGAATGTGAATGGCATAACTGGGTGAAACTTTTGCAATTCTAAAACTATTACTCATCTTTATATTATTTTGCTTCTCAATTGCATGTGTGGATATTTTATGTGACTCTAATGTTTGTGATTCTGCAAAGAGAATTATAAAGAAAAGTATCAGTTTGAATTTATAAACATCATTGTCTTACCTGGCATGAACTTTAGCTTCAGAGCACGGTTAAAGGGCTTGGACATGGATAATCTTACAAAATTTAAATAAAGATGTTACCCATTGATTCTTTTTTTACACAACTTTCCAGAAGAACAGAAGGCTTACGCACCAGCTGGTTTATTTAAACTTTTACCACCACTTGGGTGTAGAATGAGGGAAAGTGGTCCGAACTGAGTAATGAGCACAGTTCATGAGTCTTGTACTTCCTTGGCAACGCTTTTAGTTCATATGCCATTTTCATTTTGTTCTCCATAGCTTCTTTTACATTAGACCAAACACAAATGATATAAAAAATATTATAAAGCTGAGTGCTGGGTATTTATGTCTGTAATCCTAGCTACTCAGGAGGCTGAGATATGAGGATTGTGGTTTGAAGCCAGCCAGGTCAGAAAAGGCCATGAGTTCATTTTCTTCAGTTAGTCACCAAGAAATCCAGAAGAGGAGATGTGGCTCAAGTGGTAGGGCAAAAAAGCTAAGGGACAGTGCCCATGACCTGAGTTCAAGCCCCAAGTATTCACACACTTGAGCGCCTGTGCGTGCGTGCACATACACACACATACACACACACACACACACACACACACACCCCAAGTAATGCAAGCTAGACAATGATAGCTTATGCCTATAATCCTAGCTATTGAGGAAGCTGAGATCTAGAGGTCAAAGTTTGAAACCAGCTGGGGCACGTGCCCCAATCCACTAGCTAACAGTAGGGCTTGATGGCATAACTTAAGTGGTAGAACAGCAACCAAACAAGCAAGCAAGGTAAGTGAGCACGAGGTCCTGGGTTCAAACTCTGGTACTTAGACAAAAATAGTCTTATGAGAAGGCTGTGTGTACCTAGAAATTGAGTTTATTTCATGAAAACAGTATCTGTTAACTTAGGAGTCATGTTGTGACAACCTTTGTGTACTAACATAGGTCCGTTAGGCTGTAAATTATGAATGTATAAATGTATAGAACCCTACAGTTACATAGCTTTATAAATTATAAATTTCTTAATTTATTGAAATTCTAACTACAGAAAGGAATTTATAAGCCAAAATGAAATTAAATCCAGCAAGGAAGATTATCAGCAAGTTCATAAATTAGAGTCATACTTATACTTTTATCACAAAGAATATTCATTTATTAGTTGAACTGAACTCCATTCCCTTGATTAGAATTGCTGTTAGGCACAAAATATTGGAGCTACATTTCTGGATATGAAATTTACATTCAATATTAAAAGTGAAAGGACACTATAGCTATAATAAATGCAAAAGATTAAGCTAGGATGAAAAATGATTGCAACCAAAATGAAAATTAATTAATTACTAATCATTTTCCCTATTACTAGCAATAATTTAGGTTCAACTTTAGCACCAATAGCCATATAGCTTTATTACAAGAAAAGTTCAAACTGAGAATTTGAGCAAGATTTTAACCTCTCTTACCAGGTATTTTTTCTATAAAATGTGAAGGTTATAATGAGCAAATCCTTCCATAGCAATTAACAAAGAACATTGTATTTAATAAATGTTCAATTAAACATTAGATAAAATCAAGTATTATTATGTCTTCTGTTCCCTTGATTAATGAATGCTCGTTTAACTTTTTTTTCTGCTTGGCCTAGTAGAAGAAGGTTTAGCTAAGTATAAATTATATTTGTGCTTTTAACTTTTATATTTTTGGAGGGATACAGCTAGTCCATTTGCATTTCACTTTAAACAAAGAAATCCAATCATATTTTTAAAACTTGAATTAAAGAATTATGGAAAAGACCTGATCTCACCTATTAGAACCCTTGGTAAAACCATTTGAACTCCTTCTAAAGCACCTAGGACTCACTGGCCCAAAACTGTCAGCTCCTAGATGTAGTGTTTAAGTATTTTACTTCCATTGTGATTCTGGCTGGTCCATGAAAAATGATGTTAAAACAAAATAAGCATAAACAAAGCAGGCTAACTAGTCTAAGTAGGTAAAAATAATAGATTAGATGCTCACTTTGGCAGGAAAGCAAACACTGGGTGCTGCCAGGCACAATAAACACAGAAATGATCTATTTAAGTTCCATAAAATAAAAGACATACCATGACACCAACGTAGCTGATTATGGAAAGATCTCATCAAGCTTGGTCCTTTTAAGTTTGCATTGATCACACCAGTTCATTTAAAAGCTTTAACCCCTTTCCACAGGAGAAAGTCCATGAGACTATTATCTCTAATTAACCTCCAGAAAACCGGAAGTGGCGCTGTAGCTCAAGTGGTATAGTGCTTGCTCTGAGCTGAAGAGTCAAGGAACAGTGCCTAAGCCCAGAGTTCAAGCCCCACGACTGACCAACAAAAAGGACGTCTTTATGGTCAAACTCACAGTGGAATGAGAAGCTATGTAGCTAGGGAGTCTAGAGCTAGCTTGCTGAGTTCTATCCCAGGTTGTCTGCAATTTGCTGAACTTATTCAGTTATCATCTTTTACCACATTTGAATTAAGGAGGTAGAGTAATTATGATACCACTAGGGTCATTTAAGTGAGAGGTATGCACAACAGACATATATATTAGCATGTATTAATATTCAGAAATAAACAAGGACTTTTTTTGGAACAATCATCTTCTTTTCAGTGAGTTGGCTGACTTAGGCAGAATACTCATGTTTACTTGCTTTGTTTCTTTCTCCACAGAGTTGTTGGATACATTTACATGTGTGCAATTCTTTGCAATTATTCAAAGACTTAGTAGCTGAACACCAGGTAACAGTTAGAGCTCTGAAATCTTAGATAACAAATGGAAGTGCTGCTTATTTTGCAGTGAGCTCCCTGATAAATAGTTCTAGATAGCTCCCTTACTGCTTATGTGACCTTGGGCAAGTCAGCCTTTGTGCCCAAGTCTCCTGTCCTACATTAGGAATTTAGGAAGAATTGAAAACATCTACCTCATAGAGTTCATGTGAAGCTTAGGTAAACAAATATGTTCAAAGGGCTCAACAAATAAAGCTGTGTTACTTTCATCATTAGTGTTCATATAAACAGGTGTTTCCTTCCATCACATACATCTGAACTTCTTTTCTGTTCCTATGGTTTCGTACAGAACTACCAATGACACTCTACCGGTATGGAGCCATCACAGCCAAGAGAACAGAGCTGGCTAAGGTCATATTTTTAGGATTTTAGCATGAGACATGAACATCCCCAACAAGATGAAGATTTTACGTTCTTTTTGTTCTAGTTCTGATACTCACTCATCTCTGGGACCTAATCTTGATATTGCTTTTGAATTATGCAGGAATATTTCTGAAGCTGAACAAACTCCTCAACTCATTAGCAAAGTCTAAGCCAAATTGAACAGCTTTTGAGCCACAGGGTTGAATCCAATAACAAAAAAAATAGTATTTTTAACCTCTCTGAAGATCTTACACAAACGCTATTTCTTTTATCTTCTCTTGTTTTCTTTTATTTTCATTTCCCTCCCTCCCTCCCTCTCTCACACCCTTCTTTCCTTCCTTCCTTTCTTCCTTCCTTCCTTCATTTCTTCCATCTTTCCTTCCTTCCAATGTACTGAAGTTTAAATTCAAGGCCTCATGCTTGCTAGATAGATACTCTACTGCTGAGCCCCAGGTACTTTCTGCTCAGGTGTGTGCTTTAGCCTATGATCCTCCTAGGTCTCTTTCTACTGCATCATTGCTGCAATGACAACTACACACCACCATGCAAAGCTTCTTCCCATTGAGACAGAGTCTTGCAGACTTTCCTGCTATGGCTGGCCTGAGACCATGATCTTCCCAGTCTCCACCAACCACATAGTTAGGATGATAGGTCCATGCCACTGCACCCAGCTGTTGGGTGAAAAGGGATCTCCCATACATTTTGCTCAGACTGGCTTTCAAACCATGATTTACCCAAACTCACCCTTCCAAGTAGCAAGGATTCTAGGCAGGAAGCACAGTATCTGGCTCACATAGGCCATTTCTAAGAAACACTGACCCATGCCAAGAGATGTGAAAGCCTACCTGATCTACAAGCTTCTGGGTCAGGCCATTTGGCTAGGGGAAAGATAATATAGTGTAGGGAAATTGAAGAGACCTCTTGACTTGCAGTAATAACATTCCAGCCCATCATTAGCTCCAGTTGGAAG